TAAGCCACAAATTGATATAGACCTTAAATAAATAAGAGTATTGATTTAAGAAACGCTTTTATTTCTCAACATAATCTCCCTGTACATTGGGGCACCTGTCCCACCTGCCTCTGAAAACCAGCAGCATAAAATTCTTTAGGCTGCTGTCGGAACCAGGCGGTGACTTCCCTTACTCCAGCTTCATCGACGGGAAAATGTTCAGCCGAAAGTTGATGTTTAAGAGGGCCGAACAAATGGAAGTCGCTTGGAGCAAGGTCGGAGATATACGGAGGATGCTCGAGGACTTCCCACTTGAAATTTCACAGCGTCTCATTTGTCTTGTTGGCAGTATGTGGACGCGCGTTGTCATGCAAGAGCAACACGCCTTTTGTGAGGAGTCCTGGTCGCTTCCGTTGAATGACCTTACGAAATTTCCTGAGGATGTTACAGTAGGAGTCGGCATTTACGGTTTGTCCTTGAGGGTGGAATGCGGTGAGCAGTATGCCTTCTTGATCCCAGAAGACTGTGACCATCACTTTCACGGAGGATGGTGTCACCTTAATTTTTTTTTTTTTTGGCAGGCGACGCAGGATGTTTCCACTGCACTGACGCATGCCTTGTCTCGGGCTGGTAATGGTGAACCCAAGACTAATCACCTCTGACAATTCGGGCTAGCATATCGTGTTCTTCATCGTGGTAGCGATTGAGATGCTGTAATGCCAGACCCATTCTTTACATTTTGTGTTGTGGGGTCAGCATGCACGGCACCCATCGTGCAGACTTTGTGAAAACCTAACCTGCCATGCATTATGAGGTAGGCCATGCCGTGTGAACACGCCTGGTTCCGACAGCAGCCCAAAGAATTTTATGCTGCTGGTTTTCAGGGGCTTGTGAAACGATGGGACAAGTGCCTCAATGTACAGGGAGATTATGTTGAGAAATAAGAGCATTTTTCAAATCAGTACTCTTATTTGTTTAAGTTCTATATCCATTTGTAACTTACTTATTGACTTACCCTCGTACTTCTCAAAATAGGTCCCGCCGGAATTGAGATATTGACAAATCGGGGAATGAGTGTTGTATGCCCGTGTTAAGAAGTGTGCCGCCTATGAGCTCAGCCACGTATCGACAACATTCATCAATTTATTATTATTGTTGAAACGTTGTAATCGCAACCACTTTTTTCATGCAGATAAGATAAACTTGTCCCTGTGCTTATCTAATTAAGCATTATGCCATGAAGACGTCTGGAGGAGTAGATGCATAGATTCACATTTTCTTGACCTCGGCACTAGTTGGAGGTGAGTGGTCAGTTGACGCCCTGGCCGCTTTACCCCCGGAGAAAGAGCCTCCGGTACCTATTGGATAGGAGTTGGGTGGACCCCCAGAGCCGGTCTGGAAGACATGGAGAAGAGAAAAATTCTTGACAATACCGCGACTCGAACTCCGACCCCTCCTTCGTCTAGCCCGTAGCCAGTCACTATACCGACTGCACTATCCTAGCTCATTCTTCAGGTAGGTGAACAGGTATTAGTCGATTGCAGCGCGACATCCTGACTGTAGGCAGGGAGGTCAAACAACTCCCAGTCGAAATGCCCCAGCAGTGCTCGAGTGCAACTAGCTGTTCTCGTACACGGGCGGGCATTGCAATGGAGGAGGGCTACACTGGGTATTCTTAGCATTTTGTTCTGAATGACCCTACGCATTGCCTTTAGTGTTTCACATGCAATATACTTCTGACGTTATTGTGGTCGCTTGTTGCATGAATTTCACCATCAGCACTACTTCCCTGTCCCAGAAAACAGTTGCCATCAGCTTTTTGGCAGACGTTTGTTTAAACTTTTTTCGGTTGTTTGGTGAATGTGTGTGCACCCATTGCTTTCACTGCTCTTTGGTTTCAGCATTCACAAATGAGACCCAGGGTTAATCATCTGTTACGTTGCCATTGTGAAATTCATCGACATCTTTGTGGTATCGCTCTAAGAAGTCTAAGCCGAAGCCATTCTCTACGATTTGCGCAGAATTTGCGACAGCCTAGCCTAACTTTGATAATTTCGTAGAGAACCGTGAGTGAAATTTGTGGAAATTCACACGAAAGTTTTGACATTATGAAGCGCCGTCTTTCACGAATTTTTTGGTGAACACTTTGAACAGTACCATCACTCGTTACAGATGGACGGGGACCACTTCGCTCTCCATCCTAAACATCTGTTCGCCTCCCAACTTTGAACATTCCACACCACTGTCTTACGCTTCTTTCAGTCATTACATTTTGGCCGTAATTGGCATAATTCAAGATGGATCTTCGCAGCATTCATGTTTGCGCATGAAGAAAGCGGATAACAGCGCGAATTTCTGAGTTTGCGGGATTATCAATCGCAGGACACATCATACTTCACTCTGTAGAGAGAAGAACAAAGACTAGGTGACCAGTTATGTGATGGTTTAAAAGTCAATGAGTCATATGACGCTAGCATGCGCCAGCTCTCCAACCGTTCCTACATAAGTTGCCTAAAATTAACGGTTGTTACCTTTCGAATAGCCCTCGCATATGTAGACATATATTGTATATATGAATACAAATTTCGAGTCCTCTGAAATATTAGATTAATTTTCACGTATGAATTTGCTTCCCTTCATGCGACAAACAGGACAAGTCAGTGACGACTGAAATTATACTTCGCGATATTAGAGTTTGAATGGCCTAAGACCGCGTGACCACAAGATAAAACTGAAATGTATACATTTCAATATTCAAGTGTTACAATCTGTAAATACCTTTAAGCAGATGGTAAGAAGACTTGCAAACAGGAGAAATATAATGTGTGGAGGCAGGAGATTTTTAATGTCATCCATTTCAAATAAATTCTTGCAACGTGACCAAGTTTATCTCAAATATTGCGTTCGTGTTTGGGAATTTGTTTGAACATCTCCCATGATTTCCCATCTGACTGACTATAACTTAATTCTTTAGTAGTACAGTAAGGTGGAAGAACAACTTTCCACCATGTTGAAGCACATACCCAAATGCGAATGCAGGAGCGATGAAATTAACCTTTTACAAACATGGGTATGAATCATAACTAGATTAATATAACTAATAGCTTCACGCTCTGACCGCCTTATGATACCCACAAACATGGGAGGCTGAATGAATTACAGATGCTTTCTGCATGTAAGAGAAAATGTTCTGTATGTGGCGGCAATGCAGTCGCTTCATCGGCACAATGTTCCTCTCTCACGTTGTAGTACGTAATTAACTGAGTTCAGTGTTTCTATTTAATTGGTCAGTCACAGAAGGAACTAGACTCAGGTTTTCTTGAACACGCCAATATACTGGGAAACGAAAACGCGTCCGATTTTGTTACCTATTTGTGTGTTGTTCAGTTATTCCGTCACTTTGCAACGACGTTTCCACCCAACTTCCTATCCAATGTGTCCGGGGGATCTTTCCCTAAAGGTAAAAAAGCCAGGGCGTGAAGCTGACCACTCAACTCCAGCTAGTGTCGAGGTCAACAAAATACAGATCTATACATCCACTCCCCCATACGCCTTCATGGAGTAGTGCTTAATTAGTTAAGCACAGGGACAAATTTACCTTTACCTTAAAAACATGTGTCAATTATACGAGATTACGTGTCTTGCAATGATAATATGAGCACTGTTAAAGAAGAAACGGGGAGGAGAAACAGGTTATGATTCAGGTTATTTTAAGGTACTACCCCAGCATCTGCCTGGAGAGACTGAAGAAAGCCTGCGAAATCGAAAGGAGAATATTGGTGGCCTCCGGGAACCGTGTATCTATCTCTTCGTGCATTTTGTAAACTAAATTCTTTTAAAATTACTTACACTGATACCAAAACCAAGAACAATTAGGTCGTTAGGTTATGTTGTTAAAGAATGCAGCTCACAGTAGAAGCATAGTGATAAGGCCACCAATTTAGAGTTTGTATGTGATATTGTGAGAATGAATTAATATCAGGAAACATTTTCATAAACAGTTGTTAATAATCTCAACAGATGTCTCTTGCAACGTAAGGCTCATGCTTACAATCTATTATGGTCACGGTATATCAATGTTTGTCTTCATAGCTTGTGAACATGGCGATCAAACTTCAACTGTGATACACTCTGATGAATGTCTATTTATGATACCAGCCGTGAAACACAAACATGTCCCGCACTGCTGTAGCGACATGGACACGTGGAAATGAGATGTATTTGACGAAACGGTTATGCTTCCAAAAGGATAGATATTTAATAATTTTATATATATTATTAACGACCACCTCTGTGGTCTAGTTGTCAGAGTTCCTGGCTACAGATGCAGAGGTCCGGGTTCGATTCCCGGCGTTACCAGATTTTTTCTGAGAAGTAGTGGGTCTGGAACGGTGTCCACTCAGCCTCGTGATGATAATTGAGGAGCAATTGCAAGGAAATAGCGGCTCCGGTCTAGAAAGCCGAAATTTACGGCCGTGGGGATTCGTTGCGCTGAACACACGACACCCTCTATCCGCAAGAGTTGGCAATAACTTCGCCGACAAGCGGCGGCCGCTCTGTCGGTAGAGTTCGCTTGCGGACTACAGGCCACGGAGTTTGTTTTTCCTCCTCTATGGGACCTAAACTTCATTTCCATATTCACCAAAATTTGCCTCTTGAGCCAGTTGATTCAAGTCCTCAGGTACATACCCTATTTGTTTTGTTAAGACATGTGCTAAAATTATTATCCGACACAGCCCTAAGGTTTCCATTTTGGGTTTCAGATTAATACTGTCTATGCATTTTACATTTTCAAATTGTGTGCATCTAGAAAGTTCCTACTGAAAGAAATATGCGTGAACAATAACGTCAAGTAGGGCTTGTAATGACTGATTGTGAGCCAAAACGTAATCAGCCTAATCACTTTCAATATATTTTCTTAAAATCTATCAGATGCCAGGCATAAGGATATCGCAACTCAGAGACGACAGAACACCATCTCCCCGTAAAACATCTGGAAATGCAGTGCAATTTACACTCACCGCATAGAGGTTGGCGTCCCGCCCAGATGCCAGAATCTAGGCACACCCTCTCCTCCTCGCCAAACAGCGTGTATCCTGGACGACAGGTATAGTGAGCCGTGTCTCCGGGCCGAGACACTGGCGCTGCTGTAGCGCTAGTTCCGTTTCTGGGACGGCCCGGGAACCCGCACTGACGGCCAGTAACTGCAACAGTAACAATACACACATTTTTAGGCATAGATTTGTAATACTCGCATTCATAATGAATGTCATACAAATATGTATTAGTGCCTCTTTTCTTGGTTTTAAGGATGCTGGAGGCACGAGGTAGCGTTGTTGATTGAGGCACTATGCTACACGGAAGGTCCCTGGTTCGATTCTCGATGTCACTGGATTTTTCAATTGACCTAATCCTTCCAGCCGCAATACGGCCTTGGGGCAGACTCGGCCTCTAACAGAAATGAGTACCAGGAAATATTCCTGGGAGACCGCCTCTGTGGTCTAGTGGTCAGCGTTTCTGGCTACAGACCCAGAGCTCCGGGTTCGATTCCCGGCACCACCAGATGTTTTCTGAGAAGTAGTGGGTCTGGAACGGGGCCCACTCAGCCTCGTGATGATAATTGAGGAGCAATTTCAAGGAATTAGCGGCTCAGGTCTAGAAAACCGAAATTAACGGCTGTGGGGATTCGTTGTGCTGACCACGCTACACCCTCTATCCGCTAAAGTTGGCACTAACTTCGCCGACATGCGGCGGTCGCTCGGTCGGTATAGTTCGCTTGCGGACTAAAATCACGGAGTTTTTTTGTGCGGCCAGTCCGTAAGTCTGACAACTTTACCGCCATCTGTAAGCCGACTGTCTAGCGAAAATTTGGGAGCATCGACGTTTCACATCCTTATGGGCCTCCATTGCCAGTTACAAAGTTAGCTTTACCCATATTTTCGTAATGATGAGGAATGGAACCGCGCTTGCAAGCACTAGAGAGACATTTTCCTGAAGGAACCGAGAAATCACGTGAAACAGTTCAAACAATATGGAAGAAAGAACATTTTATGCAGAAATTATATTTATTATTATTCCGTTAATCGTTGTATGTAGTTAGTCTACAAATGAGAAAAAGTGCCATTATAGAATATTGTAATATCCTACGTGTACTGTTGTGGGAGAGTACGGAACAGGAGAAAGAAATGAAACCTGATGACGTCCGCCTTGTGTTCTGGACGCCAAGATTAAGAATTGTGCGTCACATGACACTTTCACTTTTTCAGTTGCATTAAATTTCGGGATATTATCAAAACAGCACACAACCTACACGAACTGGTGGTTGCTACCTCAGTCTTTATTAACCCCATTAGGAATACGAGAAACAAATATATTCAGAATATATAAAATGATTTTATTAAAAATTCTTCCCCAATTTTCCTGGGTTTCAACCTACAGCCTTTCAATTACACGCTAACATTCAGCAGAACGTGTTTCACCTTCACAGGAGAGCAACCGGTGTGTGTAGAAACGTGCATCTTAGGCAATTTCTTTCCTTTCCTCCCCCTACTTTGGAGCATGGGGCTGATTTCTCAGTTTCATGATCATTTTACAGACGGTAGGAATTCTTGGATGGGTGAGCTTGTCCCAAGGCATCTACCTAAACACAGGACATCTCAAACACAGAATAAACGAATACACACATCACACATCCATGCCCTGAGTGGGATTCGAACCCATGACCCTGGCTTCCGAGCGAGCGAATACAGTACATGTCTCAGACCTCTCGGCTACCGTGACAGGCTCTTAGGCAAATAGTAAAGACACACGGTGTGTCCAGGATCCGTTAGGACTCATTTTTTTAAATTTTGCCCTGCGATGCCATCTGTTGGCGAGTTCTGGCGTTAAGATTCTTGAAGTTTCAGCTGTGGTTGTCTATAATTTCAAAGCACAAGCATCGCTGCATCATGTGTTCTGACCTTGAGTGTAACAGTACTGTTCTGACGCTCGTCGGAAAATGGCGGTTGAACAGAGAGCCAACATCAAATTTTGTTTGAAGTTAGGCAAAACAGCCGGAGAAGCGTACGAAATGATGAAAAGTGTGTACGGTAGTGATTGAGTCGCTTGAACATTTTTCGATGGTATGCTGTATTTCGTGACGGCAGGGAGGACACTGAAGATGCTCCACGTGCATCAAAGCCCAGAACAAGTCGCACTGAACAAAATGTGAAAAAGTGACCGGACCAAAATCCTTGTATTAGACAGATGTGTTTCTGCAAGACTCATCGAGGAGCTTTTGGGAATATCAAAAAGTACTGTGCATCAAATTTTGACCGAGGATTTGGGCAAACGGAAGGTCTGTGCGCGGTTTGTACCGCACGCGCTGTCAGGCGATGAAAAACATGCCAGAGTGGAACACTGGAAGGACATGTTACGGTCGGCCCAAAGTGATACAACATTTACAAAATCGATTGTTACTGGTGATGAGACACGGTGTTTTCAATATGAGCCTCTCACAAAGCGGCAGAGGGCAGCGTGGTTGAGCCCAAAGAAGCCGAAACCAAAAAAGTGCGCATGCAAAAGAATCGAGTAAAGACACTGCTAACCGTTTCCTTCGATTCCATTCCAAAGGAATAATACACAAGGAATTTCTGCCAGTAGGTCAAACAGCGAATTCTAATTATTATCTCGGAGCCCTCAACCGTTTGTGGGCGAGAAATCTTCGAATTCTACCTGAATATCGAGAGCAAGGTTCCTGGTTGCTCCTCCACGACAATGCCCCACCCCATAAATCGAAGATCGTGCGCGATTTTTTTGGCCAGAAAAGGGATCACAGTCCTTGAGCATCATCCTCCGGATTCGCCAGATTTGGCTCCAGCAAATTTCTGCTTGTTCCCAAAAGTTAAGTTGGCGATGAAAGGAGACCGTCATGACACCATCCAGGACATCCAAAGGAATGTATCGCAGTTTTAAATGCGATTCCACAAAAGGAGTACAGTGAATGTTTTCGAAAACTTTTCAATCGATTCCAGCTATGTATTGATTCAGAAGGAGACTATTTTGAATAAAAAGAGTGAAATTTTGAAAAAAATTCACGTCTTGTATTTTTAATGAACACAGTCCTAACAGAACCTGGACACACTGTGTAAATACGACGCTATTAGGAAAAACGCGATAAAATGATCACGCTCTAGAAGAGATAAAAATATAATTTCTACTGCTTAATTAAGTACCTTACTATAAAAACGTATGGGAAAGTTGACGCATATCTGAATACATTATTAATCCAGATACAAGATGAGGACTCAGTTTCATCCACTACAAGGAGCCCGTTTTATCCAGTGGACAGGAGGCTTGATGAACTCCAGAGCAGGCCCGAACGCTGTGGTGAAGAGGCGACTACAAAGGATTCGATATCAGTAACAGCTGAAGTAAATAAATAAATAAATAAATAAATAAATAAGCTGTGATGTCTGAGAGTCCCTAAGTAGTTGCTCAGAATTCTGGAGGAACTATTTAAGAATTTCCCGAAGTTCGTGGTACATATAAAGCCTCCCACAGGATCTTCTCCTGAACCAGTCCAATTCATTTTCTCGAATGCATAATTCAACATAATCATCTGGCTAAAAAGACACCTCAGCGAGGAATTCAGTCCTACCTTTGCATGAATTTCTTGCTCCATGAGCATCCTAATAGTCCAGACACCTGCTTTAGGAGTACATTCTCAGAATAGTTATTCCGGACTCCAGGGTTATACATACGAAATGTATCGTTACTTCATTTCCTTTAAGTAGAAACATCCTCAAAACCCTTTTCAATGCATTTTCCTTCATTCAGAATAAGAGACCAAGTTTTACACTTATACGAAAAAAAAAAAGATCGAAATTATAGTTCCTTTTATTTTATCCCTTTCGGAGAGAAAACAATAATATAATAATAATATTCTGAATGACAAGAAGCACTTGCTACAGATATTTTGATCTTAATTTCAACATACATACGTGTATGCATGTACTAAACGAACGCATAACGTCTACATACATATTTACACATACTGCATAAACAAACATACATTTTCTCGTATTGGGCTGTCATTTTAAGGGAGAAATCATGAAAATAAATACACGTATAATTACTTTCAGCCGGTCACGGTAGCCGAGCGGTCTAAGGCATGTACTGTCTTCGCTCGCTTGGAAGCCGGGATCGTGGGTTCGGATCTGTTTCCTGTGAGGTACGAACTGAATTCTTATATATAATTCTTATACATTGACTGTCACGGTAGCCGAGCGGTCTAAGGCATGCGCTGTCTTCGCTCGCTCGGAAGCCGGGATCGTGAGTTCGAATCCCACACAGGGCATGGATGTTTAGTTTCTGTGTGCGCGTTTTTCTGTGTTTGTGTACAGCTGATCACCCGCCCAAGGAGTCCTACCGAATGTGTAAGATCTAGAAAAACCGAAGTGAACGGAGAAGTTCATGGAGGTAGGTCTAGGCCCACTGGGGCTGTAGTGCCAAGGAAACAAATACGGAATCACTATGTATTACACAAGGGGCTGAAACTGACGGCCGTAAGTTTGGATAAAACTGTATATGATGTGGCATGCCGAAAGGCGATACGTACAGCGCAGACAATGAGTTGTGAAATGCTTACAGTTTTATCTAAGGCGCACAGACTATTGCCTTGGGAGCTGTCCATGACACAGAACTATTGTAAAAAGTTAAAGGGCTACAGATCGGAGGAGCGTGGATAACCTGATCTACTTGGAGTTATGAGATCCTAAAACGAGAAAGACATGACGGCCATATACTCCCTTCAAATGTGACTTGTCGCACAATCTTTCTGCTCTCATGCTGTGGCAGCCTCCCCTTTCAGCGGGGTGACTACGGAATTTACGGTCTATATCACATACTGCTAAGAATTTATGGTGTCTGCAGAAAGATTTGTCCCCAAATCCAACAATAGGCCACTGTGCACCAAACTTCAGTCGTAACAGAATGTAAGAGACTTTCACTCGTGACATGGGGATTTTGCACCTATGTGAATGTTTTAAGGGCTTATAGTTGGAGAGAGGGAACTATGCCTCATCACACAAGTAAGCGACTTCTGATATCAGAGGTTCCTTCTCTACTCTCTTCATCCACCGTTCAGAGCACTGAGCTGGTGATGTTCTCTTTCATGCCAAGGAAACATATTCAATTTCTTGAGAACCCTCCGATCCGCTCCGTG